ACTGTGTTGCATGCAACAAGTACAATTTCCAACAAATGTTCCATAGTAAATTTTGAGTGATAGCAGCTCTGCATAGCAATTTTTGTATGCTAAATTTAATAATACCATATAGTGGGAAATTTTGGTGGGAATCAAATTTGGCTAATTGGCATTTTGATAGCCATTTGCTAAAATAAATAATTATTTTGAGCCATTATGCACATGCTCAATGGCATGTGGCCACAAATTTCCCCAATTAAAATCAACCAATCACCAAAATTTAACTCCCTCCAGAATTTCCTACTATATGCTACTCTATATAGCAGGAAATTTTGGAAGGAATTAAATTTGGCGTTTTGAAAGCCATTTGCCAAAATAAAATCTGCCAATCACAAAAATTTAGTAATTCGCCAAATTTTAGTCCCTCAAAAATTTCCCGCTATACGGTATTTAAAAAATTTCAATATTCAAATTCTACATTCTGTATTTTGTAGTGTTGTTTTAGTTAACTATAACAAAACTAAAACGCTTTTTGCTAGGCCTGATTTACTTTTAGTTAACTAGCTATAACTAATTAAATTTTCTAAAAAAATCTTAAACTAACTATAACAAAAATAGTTAAGAAATTTTAAAAACTAAATACAAACTAAGAGTATTTTTATTGAAGCAATAACTAACTAAAATCTAAATCTAAAGTTCCATAACTAACTATATAAAAGTCTTATTTTGTAACTAAAACAACACTAGACTATTTTGCGACCATATAAAAATTACTAAATCTATGGTATATGAGAATAAAGTGCTCTATCACTAACTGTGTAATAACCTACCAGTTCTTTGGTGTAGCTGAGGGTCTTGCTTAAAAGTCAGTGATACCATTGAGACATTTCCATCACTGCTACTACACAGTAATGTCCTATCATTAACCAATGGATCCCTAACATCAACAATTGATATTATTCCAATATCAATGCTACTATCAAGCAAGCTGGTCGACGTAATGCTAGCTTGACACTTGATACGCTCAATACACAGTCTAGCAGCTTGTACCTATAAAAGAAATAAATATTTAACTCAGCTCAACTAAAGCAGTGCATTTCAATTGATGGAATATTTGTAATTCCAGTCTTTGAGGGGGAGACCAGTGTTGCATGAACTCTAATGGTGACAGATGGTGCTACCTTTGTGTCTGAAAGATTAGCTGAGATTCCATCAGCAAATATTTCAAATTTAAAATTAATATAGTCATCCTGGACTGCTACATCAGTGACACCACTTCCACCTACACAATTACAAAAACAAAATCCTGTTTGCTTAGACTGAAGCAACCATATACGGACCTTGTTCAATTGCGTGGGAGGCTGGCCCAGGAGCATTTTCTGAAGGGAGAGAAGAGTATAAATAAAGGAGAGAAAAGCAGAGATTTTACAACG